TGTTAAGTGTTGGAAATTTGGAGAAAAAGAAGAATGCAATAAAAAAAAAAGGGGAAATGAGGAAGTAAAGGCACAAAGTGCTTGGTTTGGAAAAGGAAAAGAAAAAGGAAATGAGGAAAAAGGAAAATCAAAACAACACAAAGTGTTGAAAGTTGGAAGAAAAGGAGGAAGGAAGTTCAAGAAAAAGAAAAGTTGTAGAAAAGGTGGTGAAAAGAGCAAATGAAAAGGAAGAAGAGAATGAGAAGGATTAAGGAGTACATAGATAAATTCAATAGTGATCCTCCTCTTATCTGAATCTGATCCATTTGTCTAACCTTCTGCAACATCAAACCCTACCTTTAGCCAACTACATGCCAAGCCATTTTTCCTTCTTCTATACAGAATCCTATTCTTAGTCAAGTCATACCACCAAAGCCTCTTTTGTTCTGCTTATGAATCACTGTAACTATGGAAAGTGAGAAGATGGGCAAGCTTATAGTAGTTTGAGTGCAGTGGAGATTGAGTGATGAGTACACCCTTAGACACTAGAGTGCAAGAGAGTTTATTCTCACAATTTTTGAGAAGTTCCAAGTGAGGGGGTGTTTTGTGTTGAAGGTCTCTGCATTTCATCTTACTGATCTGTTGAAAGTCATTGTAATGAGGTTAAGCAAGTCATAGTAAAAGATAGATTGCTGGGTTGTTAGATTGTATCTTGGAAAGTTGATCTGTCATATTTCAATCCAACCTCATAAATTTCATGTGTAAAGAATCTCAAGTCTTTCTCTGTCTTTAAAGTTATTGCTGAGGACAGCAATATTCAAATCTGGGAATTGTGATGAACCCTTAGTTCATCATGTTTTTTAGCAGGAATTAGGATCAAATTGTGTGATTAAATGATGAAAAACAAGGTTAATGTCCTAAGATGTCCTCAATTACAAGTTCAAGAGCTTTATTGGAAATTTGTATGATTCTTGTAGGAAAAGCAAGCTTGAAAGATAACTGGAGAAGGAAGAAGATTCTGGAGCTCAAGAGGAGAAAAATTGCCTAAGTGTTGAGCGCTAAAACGTCCACACTGAGCGTTTTAGCGCCCTGTTACAGGAAGAGGCCAAAACTTGCTGGTGTTGAGCGCTAAAACGTCCGCACTGAGCGTTTTAGCGCCCTGTTACAGAAAGAGGCCAAAACCTGCTGGTGATGAGCGCTAAAACGTCCACACAGAGCGTTTTAGCGCGCTGCTACACTAAGAAGATGGAAAATTGCTGGTCTTGGGCGCTAAAACGGCCAGCAATATGCGTTTTAGCGCCCTAAAGTGGAAAAAGATTCTGGTCTTCACCGCTAAAACGTCCAAATCAAACGTTTTAGCGTTGGAGTCAGTTAAAGTTAGTTGAGCATTCACCAAGTTTAGACGCTAAAACGGTCATTCCTTAACGTTTTAGCGTTGAAATCAGTTAAAAGCAGTTGAGCATACGTAAAGCATGGACGCTAAAACGGCCACTTATGGACGTTTTAGCGCCCACATCAGTTTTCTGTTTTTAATTGTAACACTATATAAGGCAAAGCCTTGACACTTAGATGAGAATCTTGGGGATCTGAACTCTTTCTCTCTCTTAAACTTAGTCTGACTTCTCTCTAAATTCTCTTAGTTTTTGTATTAGGATTTCCTTGTAATAGTTTTGAGATTGAAGACTTTCAACATGGAAATGAAGTTTGTTTCTTCTTCTCTTATTTATTCCTTAGTCATGTCTGAGTAGAGTCTTTGTAGTCTGAATGCAATGGAACTCCATGATAATATTATGTTGATTTGATTAATATGATGAAGTATTTTTCCTGTGCTGATTTGAGATTTTCTGAGTTAATTATTTCTATCAAAGAAGTAGTATAGAACAGGGATGTTTATATGACTTCTGTATTTGATAATCTCAACATCAGAATTCTAGTACTCAAGGGATTGATGCTAGAGTTCTGATTTAATCTTAAAACCTTAGTATTTCATGCATGTATTAAGAAAGAAATCACCAAGGGATTGGGGTTTCTGATTAATGTTTCTATCAGGGTAGTAAGGGATTACATCTTGATGATAAGTAAAAGGTTGATTAACATCATATGGAAAGGAATTCATCATATGATCAATTTTATATGGGTTATCATGGAGGAAAGTTGTTTTCTGACTACTTGTTGTTTTTATTAATTCCTAATCCATATTTACTTTGTGTCAATTTACTTAAAATCAATTTTCTGGTGACAAATTATTCATGATTTTTACAAACTCTTATTTGATTCAAATTAGTTTTCTATGGTATATTGGTGTTTGAACACAATTCCTCGTGGGAACGATCTTTACTCATCATTTTATTACTTGTACGACTAGTGCACTTGCTAAACGTCCAACAGTTATGCATTTTATATGATGATCATTGTATGCACATTGAATGAGCCATGGGGTGGAGTGATCCTCTAGTACCCTTGGTTTACTTAGATATATTTGTATATCTCACCCTGCATTTGGGGACATCATTTCAGGTTAGGTTGAGCATGGAGGATCTTCGGGCAAGAGGCCCGCTTGGCGGAGGAGTTGAGCATGATGTGCATATGGAGGGCATAGCATTTTGGAGGATTACATTTGATGCACATAACATAGTGTTTGATGTATATTTGTTCCTCTTATTTATATTGATATTTTGGTGAGCATGAGACTTGTCCATAGCCACATTGTTTTTTGAGGCATTTGAGAATATTGATGTATATTGGCCATATCATGTGTAAATGGCCAAGCATGGATGGATATTGTAATTGATAGATTAGGTAATGTTTATGCATGATGGAAGGGCCTAGAGCCTACATTAGTACTTGTGTAAGATGTATGTTGAGTATTAAAGTGTTAGAATTAGAAACATGATCCATTTTGCAAAGGAAAAGCTATCATGTATGAAAATTACAGTATGGTAATCGATTATTTTTCATTGGTAATAGATTACCTGAAACAGGGGACGCAAGATTTGAGCCACTGTGATCAAAGTAATCGATTACCTGTGCATAGGTAATCGATTACCTCGTTCAGAAATCGATTACCTATGTCCAGGTAATCGATTACCCAAAACAGGGGAGCCCAAATTGAGCTACTGACTTCTACAGTAACCTTTGGTAATCGATTACCTCAAGGATGGTAATCGATTACCACTGTGTAATTTTTGAAAATAGTATTTTTATGATCTAGAGTTAATGGTATTACTTGGAGAGGTTATAATAAATAAGTTTTATGCTTCCGCGAGTTTTGCATTTATGATTACGGTGTTGTTTCTAATTGATTACGGAAATGTTTAATGTTTAACTATAAGGAATTAATAAAAGCAAAAGTTTTCCCGTAATTTAATTAACTCAATGACTGTGATTGTAACTGTGCTTAATACCATATGCAATGATAACATTACCGGTACGTAACGGGTTGTTGCAGGGCACCCTCATTCCAGGCAATTTGCAGCCCTTTCATAATAGCCCAAAGTTTAGCCATCAATGGAGAGCAGCTCCCAATGTAATAGGAGAAACTTGTTATCCACCCACCTTTGTCATCCCTCACTAACCCACCAAAAGAAGTATCTGTGTGGTTGGTCTTAACAGCACCATCTACGTTCAATTTCCACCATCAAGGACCAGGAGGTCTCCAGCTGGTCTGGCCACTAGAACTACCTTGCCGTATTAAATTTGCTAATATAGCTTGATAAATCCAGGATCGAATTGCTGGGTCTTCTGAAAAGAGGGTCATGAATCTCGTTGTTCCCTTAATTCCAGAGGTGCCAGACTGAATTTAAAAAGATATCTAGCCACTTGAAAGCTTGCATATGACCCCACTCTTCTGCCAAGTTCATTCTAATCCACTCTTTAAAGTTTGATTAAAAGAAAGTAGCAGGAGAGTCAGTCACAAACCAAGCTTTCCACACATGAACAACCATTCTACAATCCCTCAACACATGAAGGCCATCTTCAGTCACATTAGTGCAATTATGACAATGCTTGTCTCCTCCCCAATTTGAGGTCCTTTCCTTCGTAAGGATTCTCCTATGCATGACCAGCCAAGCAAAAGACCAACCAAGCAAAGGAGAAATATCCTCTTGGTCATTCTCCTTCCATTCTCGAATACTTCTAATTAATTGAACCATGGGCTCAGGCTCCTTTGAGTCATTTATCGAAGCAATTGCTAAGTAGAGTCGCTCTCTACTATAAGATTTAGGGCACCCTTATTCTAGGCAATTTGCAGCCCTTTCATAATAGCCCAAAGTTCAGCCATCAATGGAGAGTAGCTCCTAATGTAATAGGAGAAACCTGTTATCCACCCACCTTTGTCATCTCTCACTAACCCACCACAAGAAGCAACTCTATGGTTGGTCTTAACAACACCATCTACGTTCAATTTACACCATCAAGGACCAGGAGGTCTCCAGCTGGTCTGGCCATTAGAACTAGAGGGGGCACTTTGAAGCGAGGCGGTTGTCCTTGCCGTATTAAATTCGCTAATATAGCTGGATGAAGCCAGGATCATATTGCTGAGTCTTCAGAAAAGAGGGTTATGAATCTCGTTGTTCCCCTAATTCTAGAGGTGCCATATTGAAGTAAAAAAGATATCAAGCCACTTGAAAGCTTGCATATGACCCCACTCTTCTGCCAAGTTCATTCTAATCCACTATTTAAATTTTGATTAAAAGAAAGTAGCAGGAAGGTCAGTCACAAACCAAGCTTTCCACACCTGAACAACCATTCTACAATCCCTCAACACACGGAGGCCATCTTCAGTGACATTAGTGCAATTATGGCTGTGCTTGTCTCCTCCCCAATTTGAGGTCCTTTCCTTCGTAAGGATTCTCCCATGAATGACCAGCCAAGCAAAGGAGAAGGATCATCCTGGTCCTTCTCCTTCCATTCTTGAATGCTTCTAATTAATTGAACCATGGGCTCGGGCTCCCTTGAGTCATTTATCGAAGGAATTGCTAAGTAGAGTCGCTTTTTACTATTAGATTTCGGGCACCCTCATTCTAGGCAATTTGCAGCCCTTTCATAATAGGCCAAAGTTCAGCCATCAATGGAGAGCAGCTCCTAATGTAATAGGAGAAACCTGTTATCTGCCCACCTTTGTCATCTCTCACTAACCCACCACAAGAAGCAACTCTGTGGTTGGTCTTAACAGCACCATCTACGTTCAATTTCCACCATCCAGGACCAGGAGGTCTCCAGCTGGTCTGGCCACTAGAACTAGAGGGGGCACTTTGAAGCGATGGGGTTGTCCTTGCCGTATTAAATTCGCTAATATAGCTGGATAAAGCCAGGATCGAATTACTGGGTCTTCTGAAAAGAGGGTCATGAATCTCGTTGCTTCTCCAATTATGGAGGTGCCAGATTAAAGTAAAAAAGATATCAAGCCACCTGAAAGCTTGCATATGACCCGACTCTTCTGCCAAGTTCATTCTAATCCACTCCTTAAAGTTTGATTAAAAGAAAGTAGCAGGAGAGTCAGTCACAAACCAAGCTTTCCACACATGAACAACCATTCTACAATCCGTCAACACATGAAGGCCATCTTCAGTCACATTAGTGCAATTATGACAGTGCTTGTCTCCTCCCCAATTTGAGGTCCTTTCCTTCGTAAGGATTCTCCTATGCATGACCAGCCAAGCAAAGGACCAACCAAGCAAAGGAGAAATATCCTCCTGGTCCTTCTCCCTCCATTCTCGAATGCTTCTAATTAATTGAACCATGGGCTCAGGCTCCCTTGAGTCATTTATCGAAGCAATTGCTAAGTAGATTCGCTCTCTACTATAAGATTTAGGGCACCCTCATTCTAGGCAATTTGCAGCCTTTTCATAATAGCCCAAAGTTCAGCCATCAATGAAGAGTAGCTCCCAATGTAATAGGAGAAACGTGTTATCCACCCACCTTTGTCATCTCTCACTAACCCACCACAAGAAGCAACTCTATGGTTGGTCTTAACAACACCATCTACGTTCAATTTACACCATCCAGGACCAGGAGGTCTCCAGCTGGTCTGGCCATTAGAACTAGAGGGGGCACTTTGAAGCGATGCGATTGTCCTTGCCGTATTAAATTCTCTAATATAGCTGAATGAAGCCAGGATCATATTGCTGAGTCTTTTGAAAAGAGGGTTATGAATCTCGTTGTTCCCCTAATTCCAGAGGTGCCAGATTGAAGTAAAAAAGATATCAAGCCACTTGAAAGCTTGCATATGACCCCACTCTTCTGCCAAGTTCATTCTAATCCACTATTTAAAGTTTGATTAAAAGAAAGTAGCAGGAAGGTCAGTCACAAACCAAGCTTTCCGCACCTGAACAACCATTCTACAATCCCGCAACACATGGAGGCCATCTTCAGTCACATTAGTGCAATTATGGCTGTGCTTGTCTCCTCCCCAATTTGAGGTCCTTTCCTTCGTAAGGATTCTCCCATGAATGACCATCCAAGCAAAGGAGAAGGATCATCCTGGTCCTTCTCCTTCCATTCTTGAATGCTTCTAATTAATTGAACCATGGGCCCAGGCTCCCTTGAGTCATTTATCGAAGGAATTGCTAAGTAGAGTCCCTTTTTAATATAAGATTTCGGGCACCTTCATTCTGGGCAATTTGCATCTCTTTCATAATAGGCCAAATTTCAGCTATCAATGGAGAGCAGCTCCTAATGTAATAGGAGAAACCTGTTATCTGCCCACCTTTGTCATCTCTCACTAACCCACCACAAGAAGCAACTCTGTGGTTGGTTTTAACAGCACCATCTACGTTCAATTTCCACCATCCAGGACCAGGAGGTCTCTAGCTGGTCTAGCCACTAGAACTAGAGGGGGCACTTTGAAGCGATGGGGTTGTCCTTGCCGTATTAAATTCGCTAATATAGCTGGATAAAGCCAGGATCGAATTACTGGGTCTTCTGAAAAGAGGGTCATGAATCACGTTGCTTCTCCAATTATGGGGGTGCCAGATTAAAGTAAAAAAGATATCAAGCCACCTGAAAGCTTGCATATGACCCACTCTTCTGCCAAGTTCATTCTAATCCACTCCTTAAAGTTTGATTAAAAGAAAGTAGCAGGAGAGTCAGTCACAAACCAAGCTTTCCACACATGAACAACCATTCTACAATCCCTCAACACATGAAGGCCATCTTCAGTCACATTAGTGCAATTATGACAGTGCTTGTCTCCTCCCCAATTTGAGGTCCTTTCCTTCGTAAGGATTCTCCTATGCATGACCAGCCAAGCAAAGGACCAACCAAGCAAAGGAGAAATATCCTCCTGGTCCTTCTCCTTCCATTCTCGAATGCTTCTAATTAATTGAACCATGGGCTCAGGCTCCCTTGAGTCATTTATCGAAGCAATTGCTAAGTATAGTCGCTCTCTATTATAAGATTTAGGGCACCCTCATTCTAGGCAATTTGCAGCACTTTCATAATAGCCCAAAGTTCAGCCATCAATGGAGAGTAGCTCCCAATGTAATAGGAGAAACCTGTTATCCACCCACCTTTGTCATCTCTCACTAACCCACCACAAGAAGCAACTCTATGGTTGGTCTTAACAGCACCATCTACGTTCAATTTACACCATCCAAGATCAGGAGGTCTCCAGCTGGTCTGGCCATTAGAACTAGAGGGGGCACTTTGAAGCGATGCGGTTGTCCTTGCCGTATTAAATTCTCTAATATAGCTGGATGAAGCCAGGATCATATTGCTGAGTCTTTTGAAAAGAGGGTTATGAATCTCGTTGTTCCCCTAATTCCAGTGGTGCCAGATTGAAGTAAAAAAGATATCAAGCCACTTGAAAGCTTGCATATGACCCCACTCTTCTGCCAAGTTCATTCTAATCCACTATTTAAAGTTTGATTAAAAGAAAGTAGCAGGAAGGTCAGTCACAAACCAAGCTTTCCGCACCTGAACAACCATTCTACAATCCCTCAACACATGGAGGCCATCTTCAGTCACATTAGTGCAATTATGGCTGTGCTTGTCTCCTCCCTAATTTGAGGACCTTTCCTTCGTAAGGATTCTCCCATGAATGACCATCCAAGCAAAGGAGAAGGATCATCCTGGTCCTTCTCCTTCCATTCTTGAATGCTTCTAATTAATTGAACCATGGGCTCAGGCTCCCTTGAGTCATTTATCGAAGGAATTGCTAAGTAGAGTCGCTTTTTACTATAAGATCTCGGGCACCCTCATTCTGGGCAATTTGCAGCCCTTTCATAATAGGCCAAAGTTCAGCCATCAATGGAGAGCAGCTCCTAATGTAATAGGAGAAACCTGTTATCTGCCCACCTTTGTCATCTCTCACTAACCCACCACAAGAAGCAACTCTATGGTTGGTCTTAACAGCACCATCTACGTTCAATTTCCACCATCCAGGACCAGGAGGTCTCTAGCTGGTCTGGCCACTAGAACTAGAGGGGGCACTTTGAAGCGATGGGGTTGTCCTTGCCGTATTAAATTCGCTAATATAGCTGGATAAAGCCAGGATCGAATTACTGGGTCATCTGAAAAGAAGGCCATGAATCTCGTTGCTTCTCCAATTATGGAGGTGCCAGATTAAAGTAAAAAAGATATCAAGCCACCTGAAAGCTTGCATATGACCCGACTCTTCTGCCAAGTTCATTCTAATCCACTCCTTAAAGTTTGATTAAAAGAAAGTAGCAGGAGAGTCAGTCACAAACCAAGCTTTCCACACATGAACAACCATTCTACAATCCCTCAACACATGAAGGCCATCTTCAGTCACATTAGTGCAATTATGACAGTGCTTGTCTCCTCCCCAATATGAGGTCCTTTCCTTCGTAAGGATTCTCCTATGCATGACCAGCCAAGCAAAGGACCAACCAAGCAAAGGAGAAATATCCTCCTGGTCTTTCTCCTTCCATTCTCGAATGCTTCTAATTAATTGAACCATGGGCTCAGGCTCCCTTGAGTCATTTATCGAAGCAATTGCTAAGTAGAGTCGCTCTCTACTATAAGATTTAGGGCACCCTCATTCTAGGCAATTTGCAGCCCTTTCATAATAGCCCAAAGTTCAGCCATCAATGGAGAGTAGCTCCCAATGTAATAGGAGAAACCTGTTATCCACCCACCTTTGTCATCTCTCACTAACCCACCACAAGAAGCAACTCTATGGTTCGTCTTAACAGCACCATCTACGTTCAATTTACACCATCCAAGATCAGGAGGTCTCCAGCTGGTCTGGCCATTAGAACTAGAGGGGGCACTTTGAAGCGATGCGGTTGTCCTTGCCGTATTAAATTCTCTAATATAGCTGGATGAAGCCAGGATCATATTGCTGAGTCTTTTGAAAAGAGGGTTATGAATCTCGTTGTTCCCCTAATTCCAGTGGTGCCAGATTGAAGTAAAAAAGATATCAAGCCACTTGAAAGCTTGCATATGACCCCACTCTTCTGCCAAGTTCATTCTAATCCACTATTTAAAGTTTGATTAAAAGAAAGTAGCAGGAAGGTCAGTCACAAACCAAGCTTTCCGCACCTGAACAACCATTCTACAATCCCTCAACACATGGAGGCCATCTTCAGTCACATTAGTGCAATTATGGCTGTGCTTGTCTCCTCCCCAATTTGAGGTCCTTTCCTTCGTAAGGATTCTCCCATGAATGACCATCCAAGCAAAGGAGAAGGATCATCCTGGTCCTTCTCCTTCCATTCTTGAATGCTTCTAATTAATTGAACCATGGGCTCAGGCTCCCTTGAGTCATTTATCGAAGGAATTGCTAAGTAGAGTCGCTTTTTACTATAAGATCTCGGGCACCCTCATTCTGGGCAATTTGCAGCCCTTTCATAATAGGCCAAAGTTCAGCCATCAATGGAGAGCAGCTCCTAATGTAATAGGAGAAACCTGTTATCTGCCCACCTTTGTCATCTCTCACTAACCCACCACAAGAAGCAACTCTATGGTTGGTCTTAACAGCACCATCTACGTTCAATTTCCACCATCCAGGACCAGGAGGTCTCTAGCTGGTCTGGCCACTAGAACTAGAGGGGGCACTTTGAAGCGATGGGGTTGTCCTTGCCGTATTAAATTCGCTAATATAGCTGGATAAAGCCAGGATCGAATTACTGGGTCATCTGAAAAGAAGGCCATGAATCTCGTTGCTTCTCCAATTATGGAGGTGCCAGATTAAAGTAAAAAAGATATCAAGCCACCTGAAAGCTTGCATATGACCCGACTCTTCTGCCAAGTTCATTCTAATCCACTCCTTAAAGTTTGATTAAAAGAAAGTAGCAGGAGAGTCAGTCACAAACCAAGCTTTCCACACATGAACAACCATTCTACAATCCCTCAACACATGAAGGCCATCTTCAGTCACATTAGTGCAATTATGACAGTGCTTGTCTCCTCCCCAATATGAGGTCCTTTCCTTCGTAAGGATTCTCCTATGCATGACCAGCCAAGCAAAGGACCAACCAAGCAAAGGAGAAATATCCTCCTGGTCTTTCTCCTTCCATTCTCGAATGCTTCTAATTAATTGAACCATGGGCTCAGGCTCCCTTGAGTCATTTATCGAAGCAATTGCTAAGTAGAGTCGCTCTCTACTATAAGATTTAGGGCACCCTCATTCTAGGCAATTTGCAGCCCTTTCATAATAGCCCAAAGTTCAGCCATCAATGGAGAGTAGCTCCCAATGTAATAGGAGAAACCTGTTATCCACCCACCTTTGTCATCTCTCACTAACCCACCACAAGAAGCAACTCTATGGTTCGTCTTAACAGCACCATCTACGTTCAATTTACACCATCCAAGATCAGGAGGTCTCCAGCTGGTCTGGCCATTAGAACTAGAGGGGGCACTTTGAAGCGATGCGGTTGTCCTTGCCGTATTAAATTCTCTAATATAGCTGGATGAAGCCAGGATCATATTGCTGAGTCTTTTGAAAAGAGGGTTATGAATCTCGTTGTTCCCCTAATTCCAGAGGTGCCAGATTGAAGTAAAAAAGATATCAAGCCACTTGAAAGCTTGCATATGACCCCACTCTTCTGCCAAGTTCATTCTAATCCACTATTTAAAGTTTGATTAAAAGAAAGTAGCAGGAAGGTCAGTCACAAACCAAGCTTTTCGCACCTGAACAACCATTCTACAATCCCTCAACACATGGAGGCCATCTTCAGTCACATTAGTGCAATTATGCTGTGCTTGTCTCCTCCCCAATTTGAGGTCCTTTCCTTCGTAAGGATTCTCCCATGAATGACCATCCACGCAAAGGAGAAGGATCATCCTGGTCCTTCTCCTTCCATTCTTGAATGCGTCTAATTAATTGAACCATGGGCTCAGGCTCCCTTGAGTCATTTATCAAAGGAATTGCTAAGTAGAGTCGCTTTTTACTATAAGATTTCGGGCACCCTCATTCTGGTCAATTTGCAGCCCTTTCATAATAGGCCAAAGTTCAGCCATCAATGGAGAGCAGCTCCTAATGTAATAGAGGAAACCTGTTATCTGCCCACCTTTGTCATCTCTCACTAACCCACCACAAAAAGCAACTCTATGGTTGGTCTTAACAGCACCATCTACGTTCAATTTCCACCATCCAGGACCAGGAGGTCTCTAGCTGGTCTGGCCACTAGAACTAGAGGGGGCACTTTGAAGCGATGGGGTTGTCCTTGCCGTATTAAATTCGCTAATATAGCTGGATAAAGCCAGGATCGAATTACTGGGTCTTCTGAAAAGAGGGTCATGAATCTCGTTGCTTCTCCAATTATGGAGGTGCCAGATTAAAGTAAAAAAGATATCAAGCCACCTGAAAGCTTGCATATGACCCGACTCTTCTTCCAAGTTCATTCTAATCCACTCCTTAAAGTTTGATTAAAAGAAAGTAGCAGGAGAGTCAGTCACAAACCAAGCTTTCCACACATGAACAACCATTCTACAATCCGTCAACACATGAAGGCCATCTTCAGTCACATTAGTGCAATTATGACAGTGCTTGTCTCCTCCCCAATTTGAGGTCCTTTCCTTCGTAAGGATTCTCCTATGCATGACCAGCCAAGCAAAGGACCAACCAAGCAAAGGAGAAATATCCTCCTGGTCTTTCTCCTTCCATTCTCGAATGCTTCTAATTAATTGAACCATGGGCTCAGGCTCCCTTGAGTCATTTATCGAAGCAATTGCTAAGTAGAGTCGCTCTCTACTATAAGATTTAGGGCACCCTCATTCTAGGCAATTTGCAGCCCTTTCATAATAGCCCAAAGTTCAGCCATCAATTGAGAGTAGCTCCCAATGTAATAGGAGAAACCTGTTATCCACCCACCTTTGTCATCTCTCACTAACCCACCACAAGAAGCAACTCTATGGTTGGTCTTAACAGCACCATCAACGTTCAATTTACACCATCCAGGATCAGGAGGTCTCCAGCTGGTCTGGCCATTAGAACTAGAGGGGGCACTTTGAAGCGATGCGGTTGTCCTTGCCATATTAAATTCTCTAATATAGCTGGATGAAGCCAGGATCATATTGCTGAGTCTTTTGAAAAGAGGGTTATGAATCTCGTTGTTCCCCTAATTCCAGAGGTTCCAGATTGAAGTAAAAAAGATATCAAGCCACTTGAAAGCTTGCATATGACCCCACTCTTCTGCCAAGTTCATTCTAATCCACTATTTAAAGTTTGATTAAAAGAAAGTAGCAGGAAGGTCAGTCACAAACCAAGCTTTCCGCACCTGAACAACCATTCTACAATCCCTCAACACATGGAGGCCATCTTCAGTCACATTAGTGCAATTATGGCTGTGCTTGTCTCCTCCCCAATTTGAGGTCCTTTCCTTCGTAAGGATTCTCCCATGAATGACCATCCAAGCAAAGGAGAATGATCATCCTGGTCCTTCTCCTTCCATTCTTGAATGCTTCTAATTAATTGAACCATGGGCTCAGGCTCCCTTGAGTCATTTATCTAAGGAATTGCTAAGTAGAGTCGCTTTTTACTATAAGATCTCGGGCACGCTCATTCTCGGCAATTTGCAGCCCTTTCATAATAGGCCAAAGTTCAGCCATCAATGGAGAGCAGCTCTTAATGTAATAGGAGAAACCTGTTATCTGCCCACCTTTGTCATCTCTCACTAACCCACCACAAGAAGCAACTCTATGGTTGGTCTTAACAGCACCATCTACGTTCAATTTCCACCATCCAGGACCAGGAGGTCTCTAGCTGGTCTGGCCACTAGAACTAGAGGGGGCACTTTGAAGCGATGGGGTTGTCCTTGCCGTATTAAATTCGCTAATATAGCTGGATAAAGCCAGGATCGAATTACTGGGTCTTCTGAAAAGAGGGTCATGAATCTCATTGCTTCTCCAATTATGGAGGTGCCAGATTAAAGTAAAAAAGATATCAAGCCACCTGAAAGCTTGCATATGACCCAACTCTTCTGCCAAGTTCATTCTAATCCACTCCTTAAAGTTTGATTAAAAGAAAGTAGCAGGAGAGTCAGTCACAAACCAAGCTTTCCACACATTAACAACCATTCTACAATCCCTCAACACATGAAGGCCATCTTCAGTCACATTAGTGCAATTATGACAGTGCTTGTCTCCTCCCCAATTTGAGGTCCTTTCCTTCGTAAGGATTCTCCTATGCATGACCAGCCAAGCAAAGGACCAACCAAGCAAAGGAGAAATATCCTCCTGGTCCTTCTCCTTCCATTCTCGAATGCTTCTAATTAATTGAACCATGGGCTCAGGCTCCCTTGAGTCATTTATCGAAGCAATTGCTAAGTAGAGTCGCTCTCTACTATAAGATTTAGGGCACCCTCATTCTAGGCAATTTGCAGCCCTTTCATAATAGCCCAAAGTTCAGCCATCAATGGAGAGTAGCTCCCAATGTAATACGAGAAACCTGTTATCCACCCACCTTTGTCATCTCTCACTAACCCACCGCAAGAAGCAACTCTATGGTTGGTCTTA